TGGGACTGGTTATCTTAGGAGAATCTGTTTAGATATTTGAGAATAAGGTTTTTCTAAATCAGAAGTGAAAGTCAAAGAAGGAAAGCCATCACATTTTCTCAAAAGTGGCTAAGATGGGGTCCATAATTGGCCACTGAAAGACTATGGGCAAGGGGCTCTGAGTGGCCAGAGGCACATACTCAGAACATATTTGCCCAAGTACCCCCGCTTCCGGGTCTGTGGCATTCCTCCACAAATGAAATATAACAAATATATTACCCTCAAGAAGAAGCATCACAGGATCCGTCAAAGGAGGCTGATGAAGGCCAAGCTCAACCTGAAGACAATAGTGATTCTCATCCTTCATGGTTAAACCATGGAGTGTGAATGCAACTTGAAGCTTGGACATGTTAAAGTCGCAGCTAATTTTCTTTTCGTAGTTTGGTCTTATCAGTACCTCACCATGTCTATCGATGGCCAAGAGTTTTGTTTTCAGGAATCCTGGATGTTTCCAGATTCCAAACACCACTTCAAATATGCTACTATTCCACGTCTCTGAGGGAGGCAACCCAAGCGTCCAATTAAGCGTAGCTTTGTCTTCGCTACGGGCAATCAGGGGATCACTTGGTCTAGAAACAATTTTAGGATGCCCTCCTTGGCAAAATACTGTTAAATCGTGGAAAGAAATGGAAAAGAAAAACAATAGAATGGTTATTATTGCCTAAATGCAGAATCAGAAGCGACTTCGTAAGCTAAGTTGTCAAATCTCTCCGTTGACCAAAGACCGAAGAACTCCTTCCGTACTTTTTCCCTGTAACGGAATTGCTCTAGAAGTTTTTTAAAAAGCTAATAATGTATCAGTTTGACAAGTAGACTGATCAAATGCAAATGTTCTCTAGGTGCGTGTTAACGATTTGTTGTTTCCGCGTATTTCATTTCCATAATTCTAGATTCCTTATTTTCCATTCGTGTACCGAAACGCTGTCGATTGATTTATGCACAGACTGAACCTAAACAATGGCCTTTCTCTTTGTCTTGTTCTTTCTCGGAAATAAATCACCTGAATATTTATCAAAAATCGTAGTTCAGATGTCGCTCTTTAGCTTTTGAATATTTTTTAGAATAAACCGGTAGCGACTACATCGCAAAACATACGGTCATTTAATTATTTATGAAAGGTCTTCCACAAGCAGTGTCTTCAGCCGCTTCAAAAATATAGTTCGTGGTCATCTCTTTCTTAAACCAACCGTTTGCCGATCCTGTTTTTCAGATTTCTCTGTTGGGTCGCAAAATCCTTGCTTTCAGGTCTGGAAATTCGAAATATTTTCATTCTAATTTAGACTTTGTTAAATCTAGTAAGTCTTAATATATCTTCCGTACACCAAACATTAAATTCTCTCTTATTGATGATTACTTTCACTTTCACCTTAAGCAGTTAATCTAGAACGAAAAAACCTTTTTTTTGTCTGTGTTAAGCATCAATTGCTTTAAATATTGTTTCCGGTGTTAAAATCAGGCTACAAATGTACATAATTCCGGTTTAGACTTAATTTCCTAATTTAAAGTGGTATGACGAAGAGGCACTTCCGGGTTTGTGCGTTTATCCGATCGTCGGCTTCAGTTAAATGGTGAGATGAGTTGCATTGTTGTAGAAGGTCACGATGAAAAAAAAGAAAAGAATGAAGGAATCGTTTGATTACTGACAATGTCAACACTGTGTTCTTAAACCTACCTGGGAGCCACAGAGACATGATGAGAGTAGCTGAAATCATCGTCGCCTTCGTTCGATACGGAGGGTCGATTCACCGCTTAATGGAATCTCGGATTTTCTTAGTTGTGATACCAATGCAGCTATTTTTAATGGTTGCGACTCGGAGAAGAGGACTTTCAGACTTAAAAGAAAAGTAGGTCCAAACCCTGACTATCTATCTGATGTTTTGTTGATATTCGCC